AGCTCACCTCCTCAGGGCTCCCTGTTCTTGTCTGCCCTCTCCGGGGATCACTCCCACCCCCCCCCCCCCAGCTCACGGTCTCAGGGCTCCCTGTTCTCGTCTGCTCTCTCCGGGAGCACCCCCCCCTTACCAGCTCACGGCCTCAGGGCTCCCTGTTCTCGTCTGCCCTCCCCCCTGGGCCTTCCCTGCGCCTCGAGCACTGCTTGTCACAGTCGGCCACCTGACCTCCCTCTTGCTGCCCTGTCACTGCTTCCCAAGTGCTGGCTGTCTTTCTTGGGTTGTCGTATAGACCCTGAGGAGAGGGGAAGAGTGAGGGGCTCCCAAGGCTGTGAGCACAGGCTGTTCGGGAAAGGAGTGTGATCAGGAAGATGAGAAGTCGGGACACTGCTGGCCGTCAGCTCCACCCACCTCTGTGGTCCTGTGCTCCTGCAGGTCTCTATGGTCATTCTGCCGTCTACCATGAGGCCACCGACTCCCTCTACGTGTTTGGCGGTTTCCGCTTCCATGTGGAGCTGGCGGCGCCCTCCCCAGAGCTCTACTCGCTGCACTGTCCTGACCGCACCTGGAGCTTGCTGGCTCCTTCTCAGGGGGCAAAGGTTAGCACAGCCGCCCCTGGCCACAAAAGGGAGGTGCTCAGGCACTGCTTTCCTGTCTCCTGTCCCTTCCCTTCAGTCCCCTGGGCTGAACCATGGTGATGCCGGTTGTTGGTTCCATGCTTGGTTTGAAGGAAAGAACCTCGTCCCGGAAGTCGGAGGCGTGCTTTCTGCCCCAGACCTAACCAGACGGATTGGCTCTCCTTGAGCGGGCCCGTCTGTGCTCCTCTGTAGTCCCCACCTTAGGTGTGGGCCAGCAGGGACCTGTCTGTGCTGCTGGGGACAGTGCCGTGGGGTGTGCATATACCCCAAGCCCCTCTGGGGGAGAAGGCAGCAGAGGAGACCAAGTTTCCAGGGGTAGAGTCGCCTGTGGGCCGAGGGTGGTTCTGCAGGACCAGAGTTGTCCGTCAGAACCGGGAGGATGGAGCGGGCTCCTGGAGCCTGGGAGGGCCTGGAAGGGGGCCTGTGGCAGCCAGGCAGGCTCTGAGAGGCCCCACATGTGTCTGCCCACAGCCGCGGCCTCGGCTTTTCCATGCTTCAGCTCTGCTGGGAGACACCATGGTGGTCCTCGGGGGCCGCTCAGACCCCGATGAGTTCAGCAGTGACGTTCTGCTCTACCAGGTCAACTGTAACACCTGGCTGCTGCCGGGCCTCACACGTGAGTCCCCGTTGCCATCCCCGGGCACACGTGAGTCCCCATTGTCTTCCCTGGGCACACGTGAGTCCCTGTTGCCTTCCCCGGGAGGCTGCAGTCTGTGGAGAGCCCTGTCCCTGCCTGGGGACCGCGACTCTCGGGGTCACTCGGGTCTCCTCGCACCATCAGTGAGGCCGCGGAGTTTCTTTCTTTTGTCTTTGTTTTCAGAGACAGGGTTTCTTTCTCAGTGTGGCCCTGGCTGTCCTGGACTCACTCTGTAGACCAGGCTGGTCTCGAACTCACAGTGATTTGCCTGCCTCTGCCTCCCGAATGCTGGGATCCACAGGTGTGCCATCACTGCCTGACTACTTTCTTTTTTATTTAAAAAATTTTTAGGTTATATTTACTTATTTAGTTGTGTGTGTGCTTATGCATGTGCCACGGCCCAGGGACGGAGCTTAGAGGTCGGCGTGGAGGAGTCGGGCCTGACCTTCCATGGGGTCATCATAGACTCAGTGGCAAATAGTTTACCTGCTGAGCAATGTCACGGCCGCCTTTCCTTTTTCTTAGAATGGTTTATTTTTATATATTTATTATTTTGAATGTGTCTCAAAACAACTTCGCTCTGGAACTCACGGAGATCCACCTGCCTCTGAGTCTGGAGGGCTGGGATTAAAGCTGTACATCACCACAGAAATATTTTTTATTAGTTAAAAAAGTAATAGTAATCATTGTACATAATTTATAAGATAGGAAAAACAAAACGAAATAAAACCAAGCATCTGTAGTAGCAACCGCTGCTGCGGGTGCAAAGTGTCCAGGTTCTGTGTTCACGGGTCACAGATGGGCCTGAAGAATGGAAATTCTCAGGGCTGGAGAGAAAGCTGCACAGTTAAGCTTTCTGTGTATTTGTGAAGACTAGAATTCAGATCTCAGCAGCTGCGTAACAAGTTGAGTGTCCCACACGTGTGTAAACCCAGCTCTGAGGCAGGCAGAGACAGCCTAGCAAAGAAAACTCAAATTCCAATACAGGGAGACCTTACCTCAAAGAAACAGGTAGATAGAGGATCACACACTCACAAACACACATAAACACACACACACACACACACACACACACACACTGAATAATCTTTTTAAGAATTGGAAGTGCAGGGCTGGAGAAAGGTGTCTCAGCAGTTAAGAGCACTGTCTGTTCCTCCAGAGGACCTAGGTTCAATTCCCAGCAACCACTTGGTGGCTCACAACCATCTGCCCTGGGATCTGATGCCCTCTTCTGGCGTGCAGGTGTACATGCACATAGAGTTCTTGTATACATAAAATAAATAAGTAAATTTTTAAATTAAAATGGAAGCTTAGAATCCCACTTGTATTTGAAATATATAAAAATGTAGAATGTACTGTAGAATAAATTTTACTTTGTGAAGCTCAAAAGAAACTGCAGAAACAAACAAGTTTGTTTGTTCAGAAACAAAACCAGTGCTATTTATTTACTGATCATTATAACCCTAAACGCTGGAATGTAATAATTATGTATTAGTGCAAAAATATAAGAGGGAGAATCTAGAGAGCTTAGAACTGGAGAGGCATCTGTGTTTTGTAATAAGCCAATGTTGACAGAGAGAGAAATGGGCTTATGGCTTTCTTCAGTGCTTCCGAGACACATACAGACAACTGAGTTACCACTAAGCCAGTGGAAGAGCATGAAGGTCCCCTATGTGTGAGCGTGTCTTTCGCCCCTCGTTTGTGGGTTCTCCGCCAGCATGTTACCCTGACGTATCTCCAGCTCCCAGTCCTGAAGTCTCCAAACCTATGCTGCTTCTTGTAAACCTGGCCTCGTTCTCTTCTGCGTCCCTCTCCCCAAGAGCAGCGTAGGAGCGTACATCACACACAACTCGGGTCCCACATCTTGTCTCCTTGGCCTTGTAAGGCAGGATCCTGGGTAAATCCTCTCCCACTGAGCCACCCCCCACGCCTCACTGGGGGATTCCAGGCAGGGCTCTACCCCTGAGCCACACCCCAGCCCCTCACTGGGGGACTCTAGGCAGGGGCTCTACCCCTGAGCCACACCCCAGCCCCTCACTGGGGGATTCTAGGCAGGGGCTCCACCACTGAGCCACACCCCAGCCCCTCACTGGGGGGTTCTAGGCAGGGGCTCTACCACTGAGCCACACCCCAGCCCCTCACTGGGGGGTATAGGCAACTATTCTGCTGGCCCCTCATTGGTAGATCTGTAGTAGGGTTTTGTTGCTAATCCACTGCCAGCCCTCACTGGTGACCGTCTGACGTGAGTGCTCTTGCTAAGCCTCCCCGTTTGGCCTTTCACTTCATTGGCACTGAGTGACTGCTCGTGTTCCAGGACCTGTGTTCTGTGTGTTGTCTCTTCCCTCTCTCTAATTTCCTTTTGCCCTGAATCAACCTTTCTAATATTCATCGCCTCAGATTTGAAAACTTATGAATTCATGTGACAGGAAAGTAGCTGTGTAACGTGGTCGGTAGAGTGTGCGCCGAGTGTGCAGCCGGGCACAGAGTGCACCGTTGGTGCGCACAGCCCCGCTTGCGTCCTAGCGCGCACGCAGACACACCATTATTGTTATCCTGATGGCATTTAGGACTTACACTTTGACGTAGCTCTTAGTGTGACCTCCACCTGGGTCCACGTCTTTGTTTCTGTTGGTGTTTTTCCGGTGTTGCAGGTGGAGCCCAAGGCGTGTTAGGCCAGCATGGCAGCCTTGCTGGATGTCCCTCCTGCCCAGGCTTCCGGTGGGTCTCTTCCCTGTGTTTCCTGCTCTCTCACTCTCTGAAAACCCCATTGTTCTTCAGGTCCAGCCCTTGTGGGGTCCCCAGTGGAGGAGTCCGTGGCCCATGCAGCGGCCGCGGTGGGTGGCCGCCTGTACGTCTCCGGAGGATTTGGAGGTGTGGTCTTGGGCCGCCTGCTGGCATTGACCCTGCCCCCTGACCCCTGCCGTCTACTGCCTTCACCTGAAGCCTGTAACCAGTCTGGGGCCTGCAGCTGGTGCCATGGTGCTTGCCTGTCTGGAGACCAGGCCCACAGGTAACCACAGTGACCGACTGTCCATTGCACAGCACACGCTGGCGCCTGAGGGCCGGAGGAGGCGAGCTACACCCGAGGGGTCCTGCAGTCCGACTGTGGTTCAGCCTCACACTCAGTCACTGGAGGTGGGGGCGGGCGGGCGGGTGCCAGTGTGAGCGTGCTGGTACCCCCCGGTCCCCTTCTGGAGGAGCAGTGTGATTTAGAGCAGCAGGGATGGAAAGTGGCGGTGTGCCCGGGTGTGCCGTCTGTGCTGGGTAACCCTGAGAGCAGAAGGGCTGGTGGGATCGGCTCAGAAACGGCTTCCAGTAGCTGGCTGAGACCAGGCTCTGACCAGCTCTACAGCCTCCCTGAGGAACCAGGCGTCTCCGGAAACCAAACAGTTCCTGGGCTAACTCCTCTGTCTGCCCTGTTGCCTGATGGAAGCCTGTGTGGGTTCCGTTTGTCCACTGTAGGTGGCAGAGCATGGGTCATGTCCCTGCAGTGTTGCTCGTGGATTTCGCTGTGGGTGCTGGCACACCCACCTGTGGGTCTGTGTGTCACTGTAGCGCCAGGTGTTTTCTGACACCTGGGAAATGCTAAAAACTCACGCTTTCCCAAGGAGTTATGAATCTGTGCCTGTGGGAGACACGGTGGCAAGGGGCGTGGCCCCGGGAGACCGGGTGTCTGCCTCTGTGAGAGCCAGGGCACTGTTCTGGGCCGGGGGGAGGAGGGGCAGTCGGCGATGCCCGTCAGCGGGGGTGGGGCCCCGCAGGTCCTGGTGTGGCTTGGGCCCTGCAGCACCATGCACAGGTGGAGCCCTAGAAGCGGGTGAGTGAGCCAGCCCTGTGCCCTCTAGGCTGGGCTGTGGGGTGCCCCCGTGCTCCCCGATGCCTCGGTCGCCCGAGGAGTGCCGGAGGCTGCGGACCTGCAGCGAGTGCCTGGCTCGCCACCCTCGGACCCTGCAGCCTGGGGACGGGGAGGTGAGTGGGGGCCCCCATCCCAGAACCGTGGGGCTTGTCATCTGTGATTGGCTGGGTGGGAGGAGCCGAGCCAGAAGGCGCTCCCCGACAGAGCCCCGCCCTGCCCCCAGGCAGCCCCTCCCCGCTGTAAGTGGTGCACCAACTGCCCAGAGGGGGCCTGCATCGGGCGCAACGGGTCCTGCACGTCGGAGAACGACTGTCGGATCAACCAGCGCGAGGTCTTCTGGGCCGGGAACTGCTCGGAGGCCGCGTGCGGGGCGGCCGACTGTGAGCAGTGCACGCGCGAGGGCAAGTGCATGTGGACGCGGCAGTTCAAGAGGACGGGTGAGCCCGCGGGCACCCTGGGCCGGGGACGCCCCAGGGCCGGGGAAGGCTGTGAGCCCGCGGGCACCCCGGGCCGGGGACGCCCCAGGGCCGGGGAAGGCTGTGAGCCCGCGGGCACCCTGGGCCGGGGATGGCTGGGTCTGGGGGAGGGGCCTGCGGACTGGCCACCAACCCCGGCCCGACCCCAGGGGAGACGCGCCGGATCCTGTCGGTGCAGCCCACGTACGACTGGACCTGCTTCAGCCATTCCCTGCTGAACGTGTCGCCCATGCCGGTTGAGTCGTCGCCGCCGCTGCCCTGCCCCACGCCCTGTCACCTCCTCCCCAACTGCTCGTCCTGCCTGGCGTCCAAGGGCGCGGATGGGGGCTGGCAGCACTGTGCGTGGAGCAGCAGCCTTCAGCAGGTAGCGCCCACGCCCTCCAGCCCTGGCACCCCCTCCTCCGTTCCCACCCAGCCCGCCATCCTTCCCGTCCCTCTCGCCATCTCCTCCTTCCCTCCTCTGAATGCCTTCTGCTGTCGTGACCGAATCGCTGAGCCTCCCTCCTGGACGTCAGCTCCCGTGTCCCTCCAGCTCGTGTTCAGGGCCCGGAGAGACACCGCGGAGAGGGCTGGGAAGGCCCCGTGCAAGCAGAGCGGCCCAGGACCTTGCTCGCTTGTGGGCTGGGACGAGGCGGCGGCGGCGGGGGTGGGCTCCAGGCACAGGTGTTGAGGGCTCGATGCCGGCCTACAAGTTGCCTGCTCTGGAAGACCCAGAGTGTGTCCGCCCGGCACCACTTAGCCGTGCCAGAGGCAGACAAAAGCGTTTGCCTTGGCCTGCTCCAGTGTAGGCAGCCACAGGGTCTGGCTCCCACTGCGAGCTGCTCCCCTGAGCACCCCACAGTGCGGGGCCCAGCGGCAGTGTGCCAGCTCACCAAACCCTGGGCACTGTGACTTCTGTTCTAAGAGGCAACGCTAGAAAGAACCCAGTGGTGCCTCCTGCGTGTCCCAGCCGTGAGGGCCCAGCCCAGAGGGCAGCCAGCGTCTAGAACAGGGAGCCTCACTAGGGGTGGCGTATTGGCTTCTCACCGATATTGATTGATTGGCAAATTTTGTACAGCACCCTGTAGTGAAAGTTTCAGGGTCTAACAGTCCTCAGGCAGGATGGACTGACTTCATCCGCACAACTCCTGATAACAAAGTCCAGGTGTGGGACTCCCCTGTCACCCAGCGCTGCGGAGGCAGGGCCAGGCAGGCCGTGACACTCGGAGACCCTGCTCCTCGAAGTCCAGGCCAGAGAGGCTGGCTCAGAGACGAGGGGACAGCGCTGACCTCCAGCTGTGCGCACACACGGAAGCTCGGCTGGGCTTGGAGCAGCGTGGGTGCTGGGTCCGCCCTGAGGCCTCTGCGCGAAGCAGTGTGGCTCTCAGCCTCCAAGCCATGCTCTAGCCCTGCAGTCATTCCAAAGCCGGCAAACGGCATGCTGGTGCGGTGGTGTGCGCCGTGAGCCTAGTGCTCAGGCGGCTGAGGCACGGGGGTGCTGAGTTCTAGGACAGCCTGGGGTACATAGAGACCCTGTGTGAGGTTCGGGGAGAGAGCAGAATTATGAGAACTTACTCCCATGGCCAGGGGCAAAAGCGTTGGGCTCCTTGGCAGAGTCTGCTCCCTGCGCCCTGCTCTCAGGCATCCCGCAGAGGGCTCCGTGCCCTGCACAGCCACGAGGGTTTCCATTTCAGGACCGCAGGACTGCTTTGTCTCTTCCTAAGTGCCGTTGGGCAGCCAGCCCAGGTTAATCTCGCCCCTCTGATAGTTCACGGAAGGCCAAACTCTGAATAGAGTGCTCTTAGACCCCATGGTATATTCCCCGGGGTCTGGACTGCGCTCTGTGAGCAGGGAGTCCCTGTCGCAGGAGACGGCCCTCCCACCTGGCTCTCCACAAAGCCAGGCCTGTGTTTGATGTAAGAAGTTGTGGCTTGGGGGCTGGAGGGATGGCTCAGTGTGCCAGGCTGTCGTGCACACCTTTAGTCCCAGCACTCAGGAGGCAGCCAGATAGAGCTGGGAGTTCAAGGCCAGCCCGGTCTACAGAGCAAGTTCCAGGACAGCCGGGCTGCACAGAGAAACCCTGTCTGAAAAACAACAGAAAGGAGCAGTGACTGCGCCTCCGGAGGTCCCTGGTTCAAATCCCAGCACCCACATGGAAGCTCACAACGCCCTCACACAGACACAGCAAAGCATGTCAGATAAAAGCTGTGGCTTGTACCGCTACTGTGGTACTCACTGTCTGCCCTCTGCCTTCTGTGGGAGACGGGTCTGAGCTGGCAGAGAAAAGAGACTGTGGCAGGATAACAGGGCCTGGGGGCCTTCGGAGTCCTTTCTTCTCATCTTTTTTTATAATTTATTTTATTTTATGTGCATTAGTGTGAAGGTGTCAGGTCCCTTTAAATCAGCATTACAGACAGTTGTGAGCTGCCATGTGGGTGCTGGGAATTGAACCCTGGTCCTTTAGAAGAGCAGACAGTGCTCTTAACCACTGAGCCATCTCTCCAGCCCCCCTTTCCTTTAATCTTTAAATATTATTTTTATTTATTTTCTATAACAGGGTTTCTCTGTGCAGTTCTTTTTTAACATGAGGTGTTGAGGTGTTTTTTTGTTTTTTGTTTTTTTTTTTTTTTGTTTTTTTTTTTTTAATGGTCTACTCTGTAGCTTAGGCTGGCCTTGAACTACTTTTTTTCTTCATTACATTTGCCGATTTGTTCATTTTGGGAGGGGATACATGTGTAGAGATCAGAGGACAACTTGAAGGAGTCAGTTCAGTTCCTCTTCAAATGCCTCACAGGGATCAAATTCCCGTCCTCCAGCTTGGTGACATGTGCTGACAGGTCCAGTTAATCCAGCTGTGTTCCCTGCGATGGCCTGCACTCACCTGAGCACAGCCCAGGAAGCTGGCCCTTGCCGCGTGTGCCCTTCATTGGGTTGTGGTTGATGGCTCATGTCTGCCTGTTCCCTCCCTGCCATCTTCATTTGTTCATCATCTCCTCATTCCACTGTTTTTAAACATAAGGTCTCTACAGCCCAGGCTTGCCTTGAACTCACCATGTAGCTGAGGATAACTTGAACTCTTGATTCTCCTGTCTGCTGGGATTGCAGGCCTGGGCTGCCGTGCCAGGCCCCTCCAGTTCCGGCCTTGATGTCTGGTGACAGAGGCTCGTGACAGCCAGCCTGTGCCTGAGCTAGGAGCGCCAGGGAGCGTGGGCCCGGAGAAGGGCCTGGGAAGCGTGTTTAACTTTGTCTCTGTCTCTCTCCCTGTCCCTGGCAGTGTCTGAGCCCTTCGTACCTGCCCTTGCGGTGCATGGCTGGAGGCTGTGGGCGGCTGCTCAGGGGCCCCGAGAGCTGCTCCCTGGGCTGCGCTCAGGCCACACAGTGTGCCCTGTGCCTGCGACGCCCCCAGTGCGGCTGGTGCGCCTGGGGCGGCCAGGACGGGGGTGGCCGCTGCGTGGAAGGTGGCCTCAGTGGTCCCCGAGATGGTGAGAGGGCCTTGGGGGCTCAGAGGACAAGGGGGGGCCTGAGGTTGGGGGAGGGCCTAGGTGTCTAGGACAGCTGTCAGGGACCTCCCGGGTGAAGCCCCGCGTCCTCCCGTCAGGGCTGACCTGTGGACGCCCCGGGGCATCCTGGGCCTTCCTGTCGTGCCCCCCTGAGGATGAATGTGCCAACGGGCACCACGACTGCAATGAGACGCAGAACTGCCGTGACCAGCCCCACGGCTACGAGTGCAGCTGCAAGCCGGGCTACACCATGGACAAGTGAGGCGGGGAGGGCCGCGGGGGGGGGGGGGGC